CAGCAGCTGTGCCCAGGTCATAACATGACGGAACCGGCCACGTAAAACATCCTTTACTTTATTGTTATCCCTTCCTGGTCACAGCCCCAGGCCGGACACGCCCGGGGACTCCCCGATGACCAGTGGCCGGCGGTCTGCAGATCACTTCATCCCGTGGCTGAACCCTGAGTGCGAAAAGGTTCTATTTTCAGGGAAATACATAAGACATACTGCTTTTTGATTCGGGGTTGAGATAGTGTAATTTGGCACAGCAGAGTTAATGAACTTCTCAGCCTGCCTCGCTCCAACCACTCTCTCTCTCTCTCTCTCTCAAGGCCGGGACATTGTAGGATCAGCCCCCGTTAAGCCCTCGAAGTCCAGGCTGTCTGAATTTAATAAAGGATTTCGGTTCGCGTGAGCAAGGTGTAGGGTGTCTGCTGGACAGTCCTCGAGATCAGAGGAGAGGGGGGAGGGGTGAGGGTGGCAGCTTTGATTCTCCGACGCGTGTCTGGTTTAGAGAGGGCGCGTGGACAAAGGACGACAGAGAAATCTGAGGTTTGAAAAGCTGTGCTTCTCATGGGGTGTGGTCTAACTGAGCCAATAAAGAAATGGGGATGGTTGGAAAATTGAGAATTGTGGCTGGGATCGGGGTAATTTTGTTCTTGAAACGAGAAAAGGATAGGGACAAGGGAGTAGGGGAATGTGTGTATTGGGGCGAGATATAGAGAGAGAACAAGGGAAGGAGAGAGAAAGATAGATAGATAGATAGACAGATAGACAGAGGGACAGACAGACAGACAGAGAAAGAGAGAGAGAGGGAGAGAGAGAGAGAAACAGAGCGAGAGAGAGAGAGGGAGAATCAGTGGTATAATGTTTTCTTTTGATTGGGAAAAGAAAGGGGTGACAGAAAAGTGTACTTCTGTCAATGGGGTACGCACATGGTGCTGGTTAAATTAAATCTGCTGCTCTTGTGTTAAGACCTTTGCAAATAAAATGGCTTCTTTTTCTTGCACCTCTGGTCTGGTGAACAAAGAGAAAAAATATTT